CACCTTTCCGGCACGACCCGCTCCCTCGGGTATCGAACTCGAGATTTTCCGCGGCGCTTCGCCCATCTTCCGCCGCTCCGCCCCTGCCCCGCCGTCGTCTCAGCCCCTACCCACCCCCACTCCCCCCGAACCCCTCCCGCCCCGCGCGGCAAAACAAGTCCACGCTCCCGGCTCGCACGTCGCTAAAATTTCAGTCCCGTTATTTACGAAGTATGAACTCCCATCGCGACGGCCGGCCCAACCTCGCCCGTGCGGCCCGCCGCCGTTGACAAAATGTTACTTACAGCTGCGCTAGACGAAGCACCCAGCGGTCGATAGGTTTCCGTAAACGGGCCCCGCGATGTTCTGTTGGATATCCTATTGGCGGGGTACGGCAATTGCGTGAAACGAGTAGTTTATACTATTTCATCCCGCACGGAGCGCTAATAATCGCTAGATGTTTTCGCTGCGCTGCTGTTCGCGCGTTTGGCGTTTAGAAATCAGACCATGACGATGTCGGCGATGGTATACTCGAGCCAATTAACAACAGCCGCTTCCAGTGCGAGGAAGAAAACTTTCTTTTTTGAAAATATAATCTTTCGCCGTTTCTACAGCACCGCACGCACTGTATGTTCCCGTTCAGATGTGTCAACAGCCATAAACGTCGGCCGGTGATGTATCCGCACGCGCTGTGTCGCGGTTGCATGTTGTAAATGCAGTGGCCGCGTCTAAGTCGCGCCATCTCGGCGCAGAACGACTGGCTCGCAGCTTTTATAATAAGTCCAATAGCCGCGGAGCCCGCTTCGTTAACCAGTGTTGGCGGCGGCGGACCTCGCCCCCCCTTTCCCCTCCCGCCCTCTCCGCGACGTCCCCGACGCCGTAGAATCTCGAAATCAAGGCGGGCGGCGAGGCGAAAACGCGTGTTTCGGACGCCTAGGGAACCACGCGTGTTTCGGACGGCACGGCGCTCCCGCTTTCGTTCGAGGAAGCGTTGGTGGGTGGAACCTTACCGATCGACACGGAGTAGTGTTGTCTCCGCCCCCGCCGCTGACTCGTGCCCGCCGCCGCGCCCCGCCCCGCCCCGCCGCCGACGGGGCGCCGGTTGCAGGATCCGCCACAGTCCCCCCCCCCCCCCCCCCCGACTCTGGTACCCGCCGATAGCCGTTTCCCCCTCCCTGACGCAGTCCCCCTTCGCTGTCCCCGCATCTCTGTCTCCGCCTTTCCCTAACGCCTCGGAATCATTCCCGCTCCTCCCGTTGCGCCTTATCACCGGCCCCGATGCCGTCACCGCGCTATTTACAGATCCTCTACACACTACTCACTGAGCAGCGCAAGCTCTTAAAGTCCGGCTCTGCCGTTCGTTAGTAAGCGTGGGTAAACAATTGGTGCCCGATTTTTGCCCATTTTGCGGCCGGCGTCGTCGTGCAGGTATACTTGAAACCGGTGATGTAAGTAAGCACGAAAAAATCTCAGTGGACACCCGATACCATCTTCACAAGATTCTCCAAAAAATATTGTTCGTCAGCAGGAAAATCCTGCTTCGTTTAGTTTTGTCGTCTATATTAAGCGTGGACTCTTTATCCCCGACCGACTGAAATTCGGCCTAAAATCGGCCTCCATATGACCGGCCTGCCCCACATTCGGCATTTCGTCGGCAGCGAGGCACTTTGCCTCGCCCCGAGCCGAAACGCCTTGCGGGTTTGGGCAATTAGTCTCCTCCTCTTGATGGCCAAAAGGATCGCCCCAACGTTTGCGTTGCCGAGGTGAACACCCCGAACAATTCCCATGCCAAGACAACACCTTTATTAGTCCCCACCCCACTAGTCCCCCGGAGTCCCGTGCCGAACAAACCAACTGTCCTGACGCCTAAGAGGAGACAGCAGATAGTGTGGTATTTTTTGCCGGCGTGGCCCCTTTCCCCCTCCCTAGTTGAGCAGTGTCCTTGCTCTCGAGAGGTCCTGTATTGCCGCGTGGAGACCTCTCTCGGTTGGACAACGTCCATTTCGCAGGCCCACGCTAACTTTGCACCAAACCTCACCGTGTTGTAGCCGATGGCTCTAGGGTTCTGCGCCGAGGAACACTAACAGCGTCACGCCCGGCCGGCCGAGGGCGCGCCCCAGGAGCAGGCCCGCCGACGGGGCGCGGCGTGGCGCGTTGGCAGGGGGGCGGTGGCGCGTTGGGCGGGTTTGTGGCTTCCCAGACTGAGCCAGAATGCGATCCCAATTGGAGGGCAAGGCGAAACATAGCCCCGAGGCAGGCCCGGCGTTTCCGGCGGTGTACGTTATTCTCGGTTTTGTTGCGAAACGCGACTCACGAAATGCGGATAAATATTCTCCTCTGGAGAAAGGGGCCATATTTGGTAAGATGCCTGACGCCAAACTACGGCTGTAGTTCTTAGTCGTGTGTTTGTTGACGGCTCTTCAATTCTCGATCGCAAATTTATCGCAGTGTGCGAAACAGACAATAGGTAGTAGGGAATTTGCGCCACCTCGAACGATCTTTTCAGCATGCGCACTTTTAAGTTTCACACCACTATACCACTATGGTGCATCTGCGCATGCACAGAACATCGATAGTGCTGTCGCTATGGCGTGTACAAACTTCCTCATAGAGAGTTTGTGCCACCTCGAACGTTAAAGCACTATCGATTTTTTCCGCATGCGCAGTTTAAGTTTCGCATCGCTTTGGCGCAGTTGCGCATGCGCAGAAGATCGATAGTGCAGACGCTACGGCGTGTACAAACTTCCTCATAGGGAGATTGTGCCACCTCCCACGTCGATCTTTTCCGCATGCGCACTTTTCAGTTTCGTACCATTATGGTGCATCTGCGCATTCACAGAAGATCAATAGTGCTTAAGTTACGGCGTGCACAAACTCCCTAATAAGCCGCCTGTTACGTTCGATATTCCGAGACGGAAGCCTGGAGGGGAGGGGCGGGTGGTGTGGACGGCATTGCCAGGCGCTTCCGCGTGTGAGGTGGAGCTGCGTCATCTGCGGAATCTCGTGTCGCCGCCACCGTTGCCGCCGTCGCCATTGACACCACCGCCGCCACCCTCTCTCATCCATTACATTACCCACCATCCATTACAATTTCCATCGTAGCCGCCACTGCCTTCCCCACCTACCATTATCACCACTACCACAACGACCACAACTACAACAATCATCGTTGTAACAAGTCTCCTCCGCCAACACCTCCGCCATTATCATCACTATCTCCAACATTACCACCACCACCATCACCCACCATCACCACTACCATCACCACCACTACTACTCATACCACTCGCCTCCACTTCCTCCGCCATCGTTATCTCAGCCTCCCCCGCCGCACTATCGCATACGTATTCGCCACCGTCTTCTGCACCTTCTACTCTACCACCACTTCCTCCCATCTCTACCATTACCTTCACTGTTTCGTTGCACGGAATGGCATTCGCCTCTTTCTGCACCACAGACCACTGCACCACAGACCACACGCCTCCCTACGGAACAGTAATCACTTTTCGCTATAATTAAAAGAAAGTGCTGTAATGTTTTTTTTCTTTTTTTTCTGTTTTTTTATTTTTTATATTTTTGTTTTAGAATCTGAGGTGTCTTGAATATTTATGTTACTTTAAAAACTTTACTACATGTCCATTCCAATATCAGAATACTCCGTTTCAACGCGCATCAAACATTTTCGTTTCCAAATTAAAATTTCTTAGCTAGTATTCATTCATTCATTCATTCGACGAGTAGATTTCCTAATGAAATGCGAATCAAAAGCAAATGTATCACAGGTGACGTTTTCCTTCTTCATTCAGAACAAATTGTGGCCCAGTCGAGAATGAGTCTTGATTTCCCCGTGGTCGCAGTTGCCCACAAGAGCCGCCGCCGCCGCTGCCGCGGGCGAGCTCCGCAAACAAACGCGCATCGAGGCGCGGCCGAACACGAGGTTAGCTTCCATATCGCTCTCTCTCGTTGCCTGCTCTTCCCCCGAGCTTCCCTCCATTCAGGAGGCAAATATTTGCGTTTTTCTGCGTTGCGCGCCGGCCGGAGAACCTCTTCTTCCCCCGCGGAGACCCAGAGACTCGGTGAACGAGCGAAGGAACGAGTGGGCGCGAGAGCGAACGAACGAATCCCCACGTGGCCCCTTCCTCCCGTCTTGACGCTCAGTAGAGGTGACGCCTCGGAGCCGGCGAATCTTCTCTCGGATCGGAAGAAGTTCCTTCCGCCTCGCGCGTCGGTCGGTGGATCTGGCGTGCCCCAGGGATCCTTCAGGCGCCAGGAATTGGTGAAGAAATTGACGTAGCGTGGTTTCCGTTCTGGGGAGACGTCGCAAACTGTCGAGAGGAATAATTATTCATTTACGGTTTCGATATTTCACGCTGCAATGCGTATTTGGTTTTTATTAATCGCGTTTTGATGCAGTCAATATTTCGAAAAGTGATGATGAATTAAAGCATTATATTTGCTACTACTATATGTATAGAGATATAAAAGTAGTATATCTCGTTCCCTTTTAAAGATCGTTCCTTAATCAGTATAAATCAAAATAAACTTTCATATCATTATTTGCTGAGATTTACATTTTCCTTTCAGCTAAATAACAAAGTACATTACTGTTTCTGACCACGGCTGAATTGATTTATGTTAATTTCTAATTTCATATAAAAGTGGAACGAAACACTGTAGATCAGCTCGAAACAACAATTTCACTTATAACAGAGGTGATTCTGATGAATGTATCATCGGTGTTCGTGTTTGTTTTTCACTGCTGCCGCGTCTTCTTCGTTTTGTGAGTCTCGTATTGCTAGAACCGAGTATTACCAGAATTCAGAAGGAAAACTACAGAGTTTGCCTGTACTCGCCGCTGATGCTCTGCTGGACAGTGCTAAACCGTTGAATTGGTGTCTGTTAGTGCGCAAGCGCTAAGAGAAGCTAAACTGTTGCGCAAGGGGGTAAATGAGGCTAAAAACGACAGCGCAGCCTCATGATTCGCAGACGGGCGCGGGGGCAAGTCCATCCTCCGCCGACTGTGCGTGTGACTTACCGGTCTTCGTGGCCGAGGAGGCTTGTAAATTTTCGCTGAAGTCAGTAACCTTGCGTTGCTTCATAATCGTTCCATCTCGGATTTCAGAGAGCTCGTTTATTCGACCAAAGAACAGGCGGGAGGAATCCGGTTTTTTTGCGCGAATGAAACACTCGGAATGTTAGACAGTTGTCTGGACTTTGCTAATTGCTCGTAACAGGTGTCCTCGCAACAACATTGTATTCGACGACGTCTAATTCTCATACTGACTGAAGATAAGTTACAATATTTATCACTTACAATTAACTTTTTAGTGTAAAGAATATAACTTGTTTTAGTAAATAAATAGTTTAACATTATTAGGCAAAGCATGTGAATTTGGAACATACATTTTCTTCTTTTTTTTTTAGTTCTATTCACATAGTTTCTACTTCCATTGAAGTGGTTTGGTCATCGCAACCAATAGAGCAGTTCGGGACACGAAGCGACACTGTCTGGTCGGCCGAAGCCTCTTGGGGAATTATAACGCACTTACAACTTGACCCAATCAGCCACGCTCGGTCGCACGTCTGTGTTTTGTGAGAATTCCCGGAACGAGGCTTAATTTCGTTACGGCACTTGTTCGCCGTCGACTCTGTCGCCTCTCTGTCCACCATCCTGCACTCCCCTCCCTCCGGCTGTCTTTCTGCCTTCCGAACAACATCGCCAATTTCCTCGTCTACTTTCTTTGACCATCGCCCTTCACCCGTACCATCTATCCGTCTCCCGATACCATCGCCCACAAACAAACTGCTTCACATTGGTGATGCGACATCGATAACAAAACTTCCATGTTATCAATCATCGCTGTTAAAAATACATCAACTAAAAACCATCGATGTTTTTTTTTAGACTGGATTTGTAACCTAACATTACATTCGTGTGCATTAAAATTCAATTTGACAGTGTTCGTTACTATCAATTCGCCAAAAAAAGCTACGAGAAGAAGGGGCCCTACGCCCACTGCGTATTTGTTGAGCTTATCTCAATGTGCGAAATCAATATGAAGAAAGGAAACACAAGGGCATGGAGGTCATCTTGAGCGAGAGAGTTTGCGCGATGAAGGTAGGGCAAATAGCGTTCCTTTAGTGCCAACACATAAATAACTATGTTACTATCAGTTATTTCATGTTGTAACTGCTACAGTACTGTCATTATGGGAAGTTTCAAAAACAAAACAACCGGAAAAGAAAAAAAAACATCGGTGTTTACAAAATATACTTTTCTACAAGCACATAGATGTTTGGAAAACTTTGTCATCCATGTTGCATTCTTACTTCACAGTTCGTCCGAAAGTTCGCTTAACATGTACATTATCTGCTGAGTCAAGCTCTTAAAGATATTCTCCCCGAAGTGATCGGGGAATTAATCGCCGACTGTATTAACGCGCTGTGTTGCGTAGCTGTTGGTGAGTGGTGACTGAGTGAAATTATCACCTGCCACTTTGTCACTGCCTCGTATCCATGGGCCACTCTTTCACGTAGTAGTCGCACGCTTCCTTTGGCTGCATTGGAGCATACGCGTATCTGGCCTCTCTTCCCGTACGTCGTCCATGGCTTTTATGTAGTATTACCCATCATGCGTTTCCATCTTCTACGGTTTCTTGTTATCCGTTTCACAGTTTTTCTCTCCGCCTATGCTACGCCTTTCTCCCGATTCCTTTTCCCGTCGCGTCGCCCCGACCGCCCACGCTTCCGCTCCCGTCCAGCACATGAACTATCCCATATCTCGCTCTGCTACTCCCACTCTACAAGCTGTACATCAAATACTTCTTACTCCATACCCCACACCCTATTCCCTGCATTGGATTCGCTCGACTCCACATCCCACATCTCGAAACTCACGCCTCACACCCCGCACTTCACCTTCTACAACCTTCACCTTACACCCCGCATCTGTACTCCGCACCTTGCTCTCCACTCTTCACATTCCATGCCCTGTACTCCACTCCCAGCGTTACACACCCCATACTGGACACCACACATTCTACACATCGCACCTCACCCTCCACACCTCGCGCCCTATTTTCCACACTATGCACCCCGCAACCTGCACTCCACACCCTCACTTCATACTCCGCACCTTGCTGTCCACTTTCCGCATTCCACACCCCGTACTCCACACCACACCACACATTCTACACACCTTCCCTCACGCTCACACCTCGCACCCTATTTTCCACACTTCTCACCCTTCACCCGTGTACTCCACACTCCCACACCTCGTTTCCCCCCCCTCCCCCCCCCCATACTCCATCCTTTCACATCCCCGCTCATACTCCCCCTCGCCGCCCCCTCCCCCCCCCATTACACGCTCCACCCTGCTACTGCCCACCACTCCACACCCGTCCCTCATCATCCATCCTTCACATCCCACTCATACTCCCCCTCGCCGCCCCCCCGTCTCCCTTCCATTACACGCTTCACCCTGTACTTCCCACCATCCCTCATAACTCGATCCTTACATCCTCATCATTACTCCCCCACGTCGCCCCCGCCCCCCTACACGCTTCACCCTGTACTCCCACATCGCTTTTCTCATACTCCATCCTTACTCCCCCTATACTCCCCACGTCGCCCCCGCTCTCCCCCATACACGCTCACCCCCTGTACTCCACACTCCACACCCGTCCCTTCATACTCCATCCTCACATCCCACTCATACTCCCCACCGCCGCCCCCCGCTCCCGCCATACACGCTTCACCCTAGTACTCCACACCCGTCCCTCATACTCATCCTCACATCCCACTCATAGCTCCCCACGCCGCCCCCCGCTCCCCTCCATACACGCTTCACCGCTGTACTCCACCCACCCGTCCCTCATACTCATCCTACATCCCCCTCATACTCCCCACGTCGCACCCCCGCTCCCCCCATAACACGCTTCACCCTGTACTCCACAACCCGTCCCGGCATACTCCATCCTTACATCCCACTCATACTCCCCTCCGCGCCTCCCGCTCCCCCCCCATACACGCTTCACCCTGTATTCCACACCCGGTTCCCTCATACTCCATCCTTACATCCCCCTCATACTCCCACTGCGCTCCCCTTAACTCGCACCCGCGCGAGGCCGTCGATGGCGGTTGGGAGGACCAGCACCCGCGCCTCCGCGGCAGAGTGCGCTTTCGTAAACAACTCGGCAGACGACGATCCGGGTATATTCCTTGGTTTGTTCGCGGCAGCTGCGCGTCGCCCGCCGCCGCCGCCGCCGCCGCCGCGCGCCGCCGCCGCCTCCAGACGCCGCTGCCCGCCAAATTGAGGGCGGGGCGGGATTATTTGACGCGTTTTTTAGGGAAACGTGGTGGACAATAGCGGCGGCTGCACGGTTTCTAAGCGCTTTCGAATCTCTATGTCTAAGATTGTCCAATAATCTCATGTTCAATGTTTATTATTTAGGAACGTATACGCTACAACACCTAATGGGTTTACAACGGGATGATGGCAAGGCAATCTTTACCGTTTAGGACAGGTTTCTATGGTTAAGTATAATTGAATAAGTGGCTGAAATACCAAGCGTTGGGTTTTGTTTTTTATTAATTGCACAGACTTGTTAGGCAGGAAAAAAATAATATGTTCAAAATTGTTCTCCGTATACAAGTATTCGCCTTACTGCTGTCTCTCTCCGTCCCGGCCTGTACAGCCGCGTTCCTTCTCTCGTCTCATCCGACCTTACTCTACCTCAGTGGAAAGAGTGTACGCCAAGTCTTCCTTTTAAGGAAGAGGGAGACGGGATTAGTTTTACGAAATGCTTATGCGGGCCTTAAATTTCTTCTTGTTTGCTAGTCAGATTGTACAAAAATATCATTAGATTGTATACCAAAAATGAACTTCCTCGCTTGCGTAAAAGAATAAGAATACCAGTAATTTGAAAAAACAGTAGTCGTATTTATGCCTGAAAAACTGTTTCATTCATTGAAAAACTGCATCGGACTTATAGCATTCAGATCATTCGGCAATGAAAAAACATCGAACATAAATTACGATAATATTATTAATCTATAAAATGATAAGGCCCCGTTAAATTAAGGGGGAAAATAAAAAAATAAATAATACGTTCAATTGTCACGCATCAGTTGAAAATGTTTTATTTAACCTACTGTTTAAAGCATTGCTTTTGAAGTAATAGCTACAATACAAGGTTACTGTCGGCTTAATGATACTTCGCTGTTGTTTTCCCCAACAATTCGCAATTCATGTGGTAAATTCTCAAGAGTGCAGAAACACGATAGGGCCGTTACACGTTTTATTAGTCGCGTGTATGGGGAATAAACACCGGCACCTTTCGCGCTTGTATCATATCCGGTGACTCATAAAGGCGCGACTGCCCCGCGGCGGCAACAAGTGCACTCGGAGAGCCGCCACACTGCGAGGCGCGGGTCTGGCTGCGCTGTTCGTAGCAGTGCCTCCCGCTCGGCCCTCTCCCGCCCCTCTCCGCCCACCGCCCCCGCTGCGTCCCTCATCCTCCGACTCTGTCCCGTCTGCCCCGCTCCGCCGACCCCATCCACCATTGTTGCCTGCCTGGCTCCGTCCCCCCTGTTCCACCTGCACCCGCCCTTCTCCCACCCTCGGCCTCGATCTCCGCCCCCGCCGCCCTGCTCGCCGCCGCCCCGCTACCAGGCGGGCCCACCCCTACTGCCACTCGCTCCGCCCCCATCCATCTTGCTCCGCTCCGCGCTGAGCCGAAATAGCTCCACCGCGCAGCGCACCGCCCCGGTCCTCCAACGCCCCCGCAATGCTCTATCCGCCCCGCCCCCCTTACGTCCGCCCTTTCCGTTATTGTCATCCGCCCCTAACTGCCCTTTGCCCGTGCACCCGCCCTCCCGCCATTCCGCCCCGCCGTCAAGTCACGCCGCCTACCCTCCCTGTCGCGCCCTCAATACCCTCGCCTGCCGTCTTCCTCGCATCCCGCCCTCCGCACAGCCCCCCGCATTCCCATCCCCTCGCGCCCCTCCCGTCATCCCCCAGGCCTTCCACCTGTTTCCGTCGCCCCGCAATGCCTTGTGCCACACGCATTCCGCCCCGCGGTCCTGCCCTCCTCCGCCCTCAGCGGTTGCTGCGCTGCAGAAGGGACCCTCGGCAAAGGGCGTCGCAAGCGCACGTTACGTGCCCCGGGGGTCGGCGAGGCCAGAGCAGCTGCGGGCCGCCCCCGCCGCCCTCCTGTCGTGGGTCTCCTGTTGTGCCATTCTCTCTATTGCTCTTGTTGCTTTCGATGTCCATTCAACCGACACCCCTACTCCCACCTCTGTCGCCAAGCCACCCTGCGCCAGTCTTCGCTCTCCTACTCTCGCACTAGGAAGTTGTTGAAAAGATACTTTGAATATTGACTTATCCATTTTTATACACGATATTTTAAAGTAGACAAAGATGTGGATACTCCCAATTTCAAAATGTGATAAAAAATATTTTTTTAAATATTACGTAGGTAATTTATACAGCAGTGTTCCTCCCTTCATTGTGTGGTCAATTCCACGTTTTGCACTGTATGGATCAGCATTGTATCTTGTTGAATTGAAAATAATAATTCATCGAATATTGCGTGTGATAGTGACATCGTTTCGAAACTTTATTTACCCACTAGATGAACTCTTGCGACAATTTTGCCCATTGGAACGCAATTACGTATATTCTATTTGCCTGCGATGGATTACTGTCCTTCGGATAGTCGCTTTGACCCAGTCAACGCCTCTGTGCGATCTGAACCCTCAAAAATGTTTTTTTTTCTTTCTGATCTTGCATTTGAACATGATCGTGTAAATTTTCACGTTCAATGTAGTAACCACGCTACCACCGCCGCGCTCTTTGTAAACGTGAGCATGCGATTTTTTCTTGTTTCTGAAATCTATTAAAACCGACCGAGCAGCGATGCTTTACTTTAGTTTCGATACCATGGTATCGTCGATTCTTCCTGTTCCAATTGTCGCCTCCCCGAGCTGCCGATTTTCCTCCAACTCCCACAGCGTTTTTACCTCTTTGGCAGCCCGTGGCCCCCTCAGACCTCCCCCACCCCGTCCTCCACCCACCACTGTCCTCGTTGAACGGAAGGCTCGCCCAACCGCGCCGCCAGACAATACGACTGCTTTCTTTACCGTCCCCTCGCTGTTCTCCGGCACACCTGCGCAGGTCGCTCCGGGCACGAAAACATCCCGCGCCTCGCCCCGCCCCGCTCCGCCCCGCCGCACTCCCCACCCGCGCTCCTTCAGCGATCGCCGACAAATCCCGACGTGCTGTGCTAGCGCGCCGCTAGCAACAAAGGCTTTCTTCGGAGGAGACGTTCCGACAACGCTTTAAAATTTCCCGTTCACATTAAGCAGTTATTGTGTAATACAAATTGTGCAATAGCGTAACCGAGATTTTTCTGGTGGGAATGGGGGTATAGATTTTGAGTCCATCTGACTTGATGGTTTCTTTTAAATAATGTTTTTGATAATGCTAAATTTAATGTTTATTTTTATTTGTTTTGATTTGATTGATTTTTGTCACTTTAGATAATTAGTAAAATGCATATTTGTGAATATGTGATCGGCTTTGGGGAGAGGTGAAACTTTATGCCCTTCCGTGTGGGAACGAATTGAAATACTCTTTGCTTTATGAAACAAGTGACGGGTAATAATGCATGTAATTAATACATCCATTCTTCACATATCACGATATGTTTCCTATAATAAACTTTTTATAGCTGAAGGGAAAGAAAACAATTCTAGATGGTAAAGCTTATGACCTACGTATTTAACGTTCGAGTTAATGGGAGGAGTAATTGTCAAACCTAAGATGTAAACGTCATTTACCGACTCTTCTTTGCTGTATGTTTCTTTTCATGTAGATTCACTACACAAAAATATTCTTTAACTACCCTAAATCATCATTGTTAGTGTCCTCATTTGCACAAGGGTATGTCATCCGATTGCAATGGCACTGGTTTAGTGCCATTACAATATTTTCCTATCGAATAACTACTGAAATAATAATTCACTCCTTTTCGCTGTGCTTTTGTAGGATACGCCGGCCTCCAGATACGTGCTTCGTAAGCTTAGGAAAAAATTTTGTTAGGAAGGCGAAGATGGTGACTCTAGTGAACGAGGAAATCCGGGAAAAACTCAAGGAATTTCATTGCTCTACAAAAGATCAGGAAATTTGTGGATACGTTAGAAATCCGTGAACATTTTGTGGTAGATATAAAACTAAATACATTGCTAAGAAATGGAGCAGCATTATTTGTTGCTCAATTACTAATTGATGATTTTTTTAAAAGTTGTACTTCATCACGGTGAAACTAGAGCTGTCATTATTTTCAAGCTCGCTTTAATATTTTCTTTAAATAGTGTGAAATACTTCATAAGTGAAAAAAGCTCTGGAAACCCG